CTTTTTCCAGGACCTCCCTCTCGGATTTCCAATCCATCGGGATGCTCTTTTTTTGCCTAAGTTTCCCTTTCGGGTTTTCAACTTAGCAAGCTGACATTTTTTTTATATCCCTAATTTTTACCTAGACCGCCCTTTCAGGTTTTCTGTCCACCGGGATGCCCTTTTTTGCCTAAGTTACCCTCTCAGGTTTTCAACTTAGCGGTTGTCTTTTTTCTAGGCATAATACAAACGAACTGCATCAGAATTTATTGTCTTATGGAACTCCTCGCCATCCATTGTTGCAAGAATTAAAGCTCCACCGAAAAAGGATTTCTTAACAACAAACGATCCTTTGTAATTTGGAGCCCATTTTCCTCGTAGATCCTTGTGAACAGGGAAAATCTTCTTGGGCACGAGATCTCCTTCCTTATACTCTCAAAGACGAACCTTCTTGCCAAATGCCTTCTTGAGTCGCTTCTGATATAGTTTCCCATGACATAAAGCGGCTAGACGCTTTTCTTTAATGAGATTCAATTCGTCAAAACGATTTTGAATCCATTTAACCTCTTCAAGTTTAGTCTCCATCAAGATTCTCATCGACGAGATTTCTACCTCAACCGGGAGAACTGCTTCCATTCCGTATACCAAAGAAAAAGGGGTTACCCCTGTTGATGTGCGGATAGTCGTCCGATATCCATGCAAAGCAAAAAGTAGCATCTCATGCCAATCTTTATAAGTTACCACCATCTTTTGCAGGATCTTCTTAATGTTTTTATTCGCGGCTTCAACAACTCCATTCATTTTTGGGTGATATGGAGAAGAGTTATGGTGTTCTATCTTAAAGCTTTCACACAACTCCTTCATAACTTTGTTGTTCAAATTTTACCCATTATATGTGATGATTTTGCTTGGAATTCCATATCGGAAGATAATATCTTTTTTAAGAAAACGAGCAACCACTTGCCTGGTTACGTTGGCATAGGAAGCAGCATGTACCCATTTTGTGAAGTAATCAATGGCGACTAGGATGAAGCGATGTCCATTACATGCTTTTGGTTCAATAGTGCCAATCAGGTCGATGCCCCACATCGAAAATGGCCACGAAAAAGTCAAAACATTCAGAGGAGTAGGCCGCACATGAACTTTATCAGAGTAAATTTGACATTTATGGCAAGTTTTGGCATAACGAAAGCAATCATCTTCCATCGTCAACCAGTAATAGCCGGCCCTTAGGATCTTCTTAGCCATGGCATGCCCATTAGCATGTGTTCCAAAGGATCCTTCATGTATCTCCTTGATCAACATGTCAGCTTCATTTCTATCCACGCACCTAAGTAGCACCATATCATGGTTACTTTTGTATAGAACACCATTGCTTAGGAAGAAATTAGATGCTAACTTCCTCAGAGTCTTTTTATCTATGGTTGAAGCATTCTCTTGATACTCCTGGCGTTATAGAAAGCACTTGATGTCATGAAACCACGGTCTGCCGTCAGCTTTTGCTTCAACTGTTTGACAATAAGTTGGTTCAGACTGATCAAAACGCGACGAACAATGGTCGAAAAATTAAAACGAACACATCCACTTAAACTGCGCAAAACATAGATTAATATAATTGACGTCTGTAAACTCAATTTTGAAATTTTCTGTCCACTGATTTTACGCACAGTTGAGATTCAGTTTGATCAGTCTGTCTGTGAATTCAAAAAATTATTCTGGCTGGCATTTTAAGCACTACGCGGGATGAAATGTACGTTATGATATGCAAAGTAAAAATAAATTTAGGTGCATGTAAAATTTAAAATGTCCGAACAGAATTGGGGTATGACAGTCAGTGACCCTCAATGTTTTTCTTCATGGCTTCTTTTCTTGCAAAAGAGGGGTTAGGCAAGGGTACCCTCTATCTTATATTCTTTTCTGTTTGGCTGGAGATGTTTTGAGCATGCATCTTTCTATGCTAGTCACTTCTGGAACTCTTTCTCCAATCAAGGCAACTAAGAAGGTCGATATTCCCTCTCATATATTTTATTTAGATGATATTCTAGTGCTCTATAAAGACAATACTACCAATATCACTACTCCCTAAAAATTATTCTCTACATATTCTGCAGCTTCTGGCCTGCATATTAATTTGCAAAAATATACTATTTTTCTTGGCTCTATGTGTAATAGCAAGGTTGAGCATTTCACTCCTCTCACGGGTTTTTCTAGGGGTTATCTTCTTTTTTTCTTACTTAGGGGTTCCTATTTTCAAAGGAAAAGTTAGGAAAGTCCATCTTCAACCTATAGCTGATAAAGTGATGGCAAGGCTTTTTGCTTAGAAAGGGTCTAGCCTCACTTTTGTTGGTAGAATTCTTTTGGTCAATTCATTTATTCACAGTATACTATATAACTCCATTATAATATATAGCTGGCTTACTTCCCTTTTAAAGATGATTGAGAAGGCCTCCCAAAACTTTATTTGGAGTAAAAATATTCTTACTAAAAAGTTGGTCACAATAGCTTAGAGAAAAGTTTTTCAGCCAAAGGATTATGAAGGTCTGGGTTTAAGGTCTCTTATTACTCTAAATGAAGCCTCAAACTTGAACCTTGGTTAGGATATGCTTAATAGTGATAAGTATTAGGCTAAAGTAGTTTAAGCTAGAGTTCTTAGAAGACATTGTACAATCAAACATCATATCTTCTCCTCTCTTTGGTACAACTTAATGTTTGAATATAACTTCTTAAAATCGAAGAGTATTTGGATTATTAGAAATGGTAGGAAGATTAAGTTTTAGAAGGATTCTTAGTGTGGTGAGCCATTGCTGCACAAATCTGACATATAAATTCTTCTTAGCCATAATATTGACCCTGATTCCTTACTTGCAGATTTTTGGCACAATGGTGTTTAGTATTTTCTCAAATTCTAGCATGATATTTTCCCCTTCTTAGATCTGGATACTGCTCATCACACCCCGCAGATTGAAAATGCAAACATTTCCATTTGGCTGACCTCTTCTGATGGATGTTTTTCCTTAAAGCTGGCTTACATTATTAAAACCTATCCATTCGTTCTTCTAATATGGGCAAAGATTATTTGGCACTTTGATATCCCTCGTACTAAATCTTTTATTGTGTGACAGCTGATGCATGATAAAATACTCGCAGATGATGCTATCTAGTTAGTTCAGAGGGTGCACAAATGTTTCCATGTGTAAGAATGCTTCTGAATTTACAGCTCACATTTTCTTCCATTGTCCTATTGCTTCCAAGACTTGGAATTGGTTGACCAGAACACTCAAGGCCTCCATCAACATCTCTTCCCAACATGATTTATAGTCTTTTTGTAGCAAGAGTAATTATCCCCACGACTCTTTGATTATCAAAGCAGTGATTTTCTTTTCTTTAGACGAAATCTGGAAGGCAAGGAATGTAGCCTGGTATCACAACAAGCTTATTCATAACGCTATCACAAACATCAAAGCCCAAACTATCACGGTCGACAATAATTCTTCGCTACCTTCCTCTGCTTCCATGACGAACTTCAACCTTTTTAAGTCTTTTTAGGTTACAATCCACCCTCCGAAGACCCCTATTATTAAGGAATTAATATGACAACCTCCTTCTATATCGTGGTTAAAGTATAATTTTGGCGAGGTTGTTGTATCTAGTTCTTATGGAAACCTCCTTCTATATTGTGTTTAAAGTGTAATTGTGACAAGGCTATTGTATCTAGTTCTAATGGCTATGAAAGCATTTTCAGAGATTCCAAAAGGAATTTCATTTTGGCATTTGTTGAGCAAACCCTAATTGCTTACTCCTTACATGCTGAATTCTCTATTGTTCTTCGTTCTATTGAAAATACTAGAGATAAAGTATGACCTACCTAAGCCTTGAATTGAGAGTGATTCTTTTTTGGTTTCCAAGCTTTTTCGAAAAATTCGTCGGTATCTTAGAAGTAAGTAAATTCACTATACAAAAAAACTAATATGTCTTTTGTTATCACTCATATTTATAGGGAAGTAAACCCTTATGCGGATTTTTTTGCTAACTTGAACCACACTTCTCACTATTTGAATTTTTTTAAAGAAATTCCTTTGAGAAATAGATGGTAAAGAATAGTCTAGACTTATTATTTTTTTCAAATTTGTTTTCTTTTAAGATGGGTTTGGCCTAATTTCTATTTTCTTTTTGTGTTCCTCCTTTTACTTTTATATTTTAATCTTTATTTATAAAATAATTAACTCTAAAAGTCATTTTTAAAATATTTAAAAACCATTTATTTAAAATCTATAAAAAAAATGGATCCATAATCAATTATTTATTAATAAATTAAATTAGACACAATTTAAAAGACATATGAACATTAATATTCTTCTCGTTCCAAATTTCAAATTATAAATCACTAAATAAAAAATATTTGTTCTAATTTATTACTTTTCTTTGATTCTTTTAATTTATTTTTATATGTAATTAATGAAAGACAAAGTTATAAGAAAACTCCACATAGTTCTTTTAATTATATTTTTTAATATATTCATATTTATATCTATATATTTGATAATTGAAAATATATTACTAGTATTTAATCTTCACATCTTGACTATAATTATCACTATAATAAATGATAGGAAACCAAAAAAAGTTAAAATTCTTAACACTATATCCATAAGAAAAAGTGATCCATGAAATTCCGAAGGTACAATAAAGAATCGAACGGTGGAGGAACATCCATCCGCGGAAACACGGAGCCGCTCACACCCAAAACCTTGGAATCTTACACCCACCCTTCTACACACAAGCAAAAAGTAGCTTTGAACGCAGACACACCCACTAACTTTCTCCCTCTCAACTAACCTAACCTTAGTTAACTCCTAACCCTACTTCGTTCATTCTCGTTCTCTATTCTCCTCTTCCTAGTCTTTATTTATACCCCATTTGCACCTGCACCCTAGTTCCATTCCCTTCTCTTCCACCTCTCCTTCTTCTCCTCATGTGAACTCTATTTCGCTATAATAATACTACAACACTTCAAAATTAGCATGAGTTGCAACGGTTGCCGTGTCCTTAGAAAGGGTTGTAGTGAGTCATGTATCTTACGCCCTTGTATTCAATGGATCGATACCCCTGAATCACAAGGCTATGCCACTGTCTTCGTGGCCAAGTTTTTCGGTCGCGCTGACCTTATGTCTTTCATTTCTAACGTCCCTCAACCACAAAGACCCGGTAAATTATCTTTTTTTTTTACTCTTGTTTAATTTTATTATTACTCTACAATTATTTCTTGTTAAATCAGTTAGGTTCATAATTGTGCAGAGACATCAAATACACGAGTTTGAACTCGCGAATAAACCTGGCTAACTAAATTTTCTTCTATATTATTCTTATGCAGCTTTGTTTCAATCCTTGTTGTTTGAAGCGTGTGGACGAACGGTTAACCCTGTTAACGGTGCCGTTGGACTTTTATGGACAGGAAACTGGCACGTGTGTCAAGCGGCAGTTGAAACCGTTCTCCGCGGCGGAACCCTTGGGCCTATACCTGAGCTTCTATGTTTAGATGATGCATCTGAAGGGGAAGTCACGTGTAACGACGCGCGGAGGATCCGAGATCCGAACTCGAGTTTCCGGCTCGTGAGTTCCGGTGGTAAACGCAAGCGATTGAGTGAAGCTGCGAAGATTCAGACTCAGACGACGACTGATCTTAATCTCCGGTTGACGCCATGTTTTCTTCAGAACGCGTTGACCAACGGTTATCGGAAGGAGGTTCGTCGGCAGGGGACACCGTCGTTGAATTCGGAGGAATCAGTGACCACAACGACGACGTGTTTGGAGAGTGGGAACGGAGATGAGTATGTTCACGACGGAGACCGGAAAGTTCTTAACCTTTTTGTTTGAGGGATATTTCTTAAAGTGATTCGTGTTTTTTGTTTCTGAATCGTGCGATTAAGGTCTTGCGAGCACGTTATTTTTGTCTTTTTTCAGTAATTTATTTTGCCGGAAAATAAATCCGGTGAGATTTTGTAAAACGCCGGCACATGATTTTTCTCTGTTCTTTTATAAACAGAGAGAAAGATGAAGGTTAGTCGGTGAGGATTTTTTTTTTTTTAAAATCTGTCAAACATGTTGCTTTGAATATTAAATAATTAAATCCTAAAGTATAAATATATTTTCTTTTTATTAGAGTCTAGTTTCATAGTATACTAGTTTCATAATAATTTATCAAAAAGAAACTGAAGTAAAAGTAGTAGTATTTTGAAATTTTGGAGTTGGTGTTTTGTAGAATTAATGAACTTGAGCTTGTTCTGGACAAAATTAAAGTTGAGTTGGTTTGTTGTGATAATTATTTTTAAAGTTAAGTTGGTTTATTTTGGTAATTATTTCCAAAAAGCAACGTGAAAATAATAACATTTAAAAATCATAATTATTCTATTATAGTTATTTTTATAAAATATTAATTTTAAGTAATTATTTTTTAAAAATAGTTGTATAAGATATATAACTATATTAAATTTTTTATTTTAAAAAAATCTTTATTAAGTCTCTAATGTTACGGCTATATGGCCAATATAAATACAAGTATTATAATTAAAGGTAAGTGATTAAATATACTATTTTTTATTAAATTAATAAAAAAATATTTTTAACTCCAAACTCTAAAAAGTGTGAAAATATTTATTATTGTTAATAAATGAGCTTATAGTAGTATAACTTGATGGGAAATGATAATGAAGGGCATTCTTTAAACTTTAAAATAGTAATATTTAAAAAAAAATATGTGTACTTAGTTTATTGAGATTAAAATGATTAATTTTTCTATAATTTTTTTTTAATTAAGAATTTTAAAGAGTGTTCATGGAGTAGCAAGACTCTAACTTGATTATTTTCTAATACTTGTGTCCAAGATTTTAAGAGACCATAGATTTGAGACAAATGGAGTAAGTGGTTGAGTTTAAGAAGGTAATAAACTCCCAATGAGGTTAAATCAATCGGTAATTAAGTTTATTGAATTTGTTTCTAATATTAAATGTAAGATTTTTTTCTTGAAAAATAATAGTACGTGAGACATATTATTTTTTAATTAATTACATGAGTTAAAATAGAATACTATAAACTAAATTTTTGTTAGCATTGTTTTTAAGCTTTTGGTGACCAATGAAACCCTGTTTTTTAAGAAAAAGAAAGGAAGAAAAGTTTCATTGAAGCAGCTAAACACCTTTTTGACCTCATCCGTATACAAAAGACACGTGGGAGTTGTCTGTGACTCATTTCTGTGTCATATACTAGGTTGTATTTATCCATACAAAAAATAATTACTCTCTTTTAGTTTATATAAATAATCTATTTAACATAAATTTATGAGAGATAGATATACGGGATGCATATATTTCAAAAATTTAATATTATGTTTAATAAAAAGTACATATTTAAATTTTACACAGTTAAAAAAAAAGAGAGATAGTTATGTTGATTTTAATAATAAATAATGAGTGGAGATCACCTTAAAAATAAGTAAATTTTATAATTTGTTCTATAACCATATATTTTAAATTTGATTAATCGAATAATTATAAATAAAAATATTAATTTAATTATTAGATTAATTCAATTAAAAAATTATGATAGAAAATAAATTATAAAAATATACTTTGAAATAGGTTGAACTCCATTCATAAATAATTTAACCCATATATATTAGTTGAACCAGATGAATTTTAAGTGTTAAACTAAAGTTTAATTTGTAACAGTAATATTTTGTATTTTTATATAATATAATATTATTAATAAATTATTGATACTTATAATTTAAAGCTAGATTTTTTTATTAATCATACTTAATAAAATAATTGAATAAAGTGAAAATATATAAGTGAAAATAATGTAATTCAAATAATAATATTATTATAATATTAATTTTATAAAGAAGTAAGTAGATGTTAAAAGCTATTGATGAGAACGAAGGAGGAGGAAGTGGATGTTACTAATTGTTTTTAGCGTAAGTTAACTTGTGTCACATGGGAATATGTTAACGGCACCTTTTAAAAATTAGATGTAGAAATAATTTTTTAAAAATTGTGTATTGATTTTATAAAAACTTGATAATTATTTTTTTTACTATTTTTTTTAATATAAATTTTTTATTTATGAATTTTTAATATGTATCTCTAAAACACAAGTTAACATTATTCAAAGGATAATTTTAAGGGCACAAGTTAAAAATTAAATGTAAAAACAATTTTTTAGAAATTGTGTATTGATTTTATTAAAAGCTTATAGTTAATTCTTTTACTATTTTTTCTGATACAAATTTTTTATTTACGGATTTTTTAACGTGTGCCTCTAGAATACAAATTACCATTACTTATGTTTTTGTCTCTTAACACAAAGTCAAACTTACTATTTTATCTTAAAAATTATTTGAAATTTTACCCTATCAAGTAGCATTATGTATTGTGAGATATTTGATCGAACTTTAGTATGGTCGAAAGATAGCTTCTGGTTCGACAAGAATTAAGCATGAGGTCAAAGTCTGTGCGCATGCTGCTGTCGAAGATAATGCGTGTTGTAGTCGAAGTTTGTTCTAACATGCATTAGTCAATATTGTTAGGTTGTTAGCATATTGGATTGGGCATTGCTTGTAAGCCCAAATGTTTAAGTTAGCTTGTACCCTAAGTTAGCTTGTAATGAATAATTGTTAAAAAAACCCATTAGATTAGTGTGTTATTTTTCTTATAAATAGGATTTTAGTTTCTCAATTCTTGGAATAAGGAAAAATAGGAAGATAAAATCCTAATTTCAAGAGAGAGGGGTTGTTTTGTTATTCTTGTATACATGTAATCTTGTTCTAAGAGAAAGGAAAAAGTAGTAGTTTAATAACCAATCCTTGTTGTTCCTTGTTGTTTTACCTTGGTTTCTTTGTTAACCCTAACCCTTGTGTGTTTCTTAATCATAAAGAAATCGTTTATACTTTGTTTCAAGGTATCTGATTCACAATAAATTGGTGCGGTGAGCACGGAGAAGATGCCTTCAACAAAGTATGAGATTGAAAAGTTCACTGGAGTGAACGACTTCGGTCTGTGGCGCTTGAAGATGAATGCCCTACTGGTTCAGCAGGGTTGTTTAGAAGCGTTGAAGGGAGAGGCAGTCATGGACGCTGCATTAATGGCAAAAGAAAAGACATGCATGATTGAGAAAGCCCACAACGCAATATTATTGAGCCTTGGTGATAAGGTTCTTCGACAGGTATTAAAGGAGACTGCAACATCGGGATTATGGGTGAAACTTGAAAGTTTGTACATGACCAAATCTCTGGTGAATCAACTCTACCTGAAGCAAGCTTTGTATTCATTCAAGATGAGTGAAGACAAAGTGTTGGCTGAGCAGTTGGATATATTTAACAAGCTAATTCTTGATCTTGAAAATATTGATGTGAAGATCGACGATGAAGATCAAGTACTGTTGCTGCTGTGTGCTTTGCCTAGAACACGTGCTCACTTCAAAGAAACTCTCTTTTATGGAAGGGAGTCCCTGACCTTTGAAGAAGTTCAACTAGCCTTGTATTCTAAGTACTTGAACAAACGAAAGGAGTATAAACCTTCGACGGTGGGCGAAGGTTTAGACGTTAAGGGAAAATTCTTGAGAAAGGATGGTAAGTTTGACAAGAAGAAATGTAAAAGTCAACAGAAATCTTATTGTGGTGAAACATTTGGTATTCGATGTTATCACTGTAAGAAGGAGGGTCACACAAGAAATGTGTGCCATGAACGCCTGAAAGATCATGGAGGTCATGGCAACGTAACCATTGTTCAAGATGACTTCGACTCATCTAATGTTCTTGTGGTTTCAAGTGGCGACTCGAGAAAAGAGTGAATTATAGATTCAGGTTGCACTTGGTACATGACTCCAAATAGATAATTGTTTGAGGAGCTATGTGATCAAGATGGTGGATTTATGCTGCTGGGAAACAACAAATCTTGCAAAATTGCAGGTATTGAATCTATGAGATTCAAGCTCCATGATAAGTCAATAAGATTATTGAATGAAGTCGGGTATGTACCTGACTTGAAGAGAAATTTGATTTCTCTTGGTGAATTCGACAGAAAGGGATACGTTTTTCAAGGAGAGAAAAGTATCCTAAGAGTCATGAAAGGGTCGAAGGAATTCTTGAGAGGCATGAAGAAATAAGGCTTGTATACCCTTGAGGCTGAGGTTGTAAGTGGTCCGAAGACATAATTATGTCACATGAGATTGGGCCATGTCAATGAAAGAGGCCTGGTCGAATTGGGGAAGCAAAACCTGCTAGGAGGTGACAAAGTTGAAAAGTTTGAGTTTTGTGAATCTTGTGTATTTGGTAAATCCTCTAGGGGAAGTTTAATAAAGGCAAGCAAAGAACACATGGATCCATGAATTACATTCATGCTGATCTTTGGGGGTCTGTAAGGAATCTTTCGCACTCAGGTGCAAGGTATTTTCTATCTATCGTTGATGACTATTCCAGAAAGCTATGAGTATTCATTCAAAATACGAAGGATGAAACTTTTTAGAATTTCAAAAGTTGGAAGATTCTGGTCGAAACTCAAACTGGCAAAAAGGTTAAGAGGTTGAGAACTGACAATGGCCTTGAATTCTGCAATGAAGCGTTTGACAGTTACTGTGTTGAGTCTGGGATTACAAGGCATAAGGTTGTATCCGATACTCCTTAACAAAATGGATTAGCTGAGAGATCCAATCGAACAATCCTTGAAAGGGTTAGATGCATGTTGGTTAGTACTGGATTGAAGGTGTTTTAGGCGGAAGTTGTTTCAATAACAGCTTACCTGATAAATAGATGTCCCTCGACTGCCTTGGGAATGAAGACACCTGAAGAAGTTTGGTCGGGACATCCACCTAGTCTCGAC